CATTGTGAGAGTTAAAGTACAGGCAGGAACAGTCTGAAATCAGGAACTTTTTGCAATTTCTGATTCGCTTTCAGGATTTCTTAACAAACGGCCAAGATTTGAAAAACACTTGTGGAGTAGATTAGAATGTTAAGAGGCCGTTGAGAGATGACATGAATAAGTATGAGGTAAACAGCTGCACTTAAGACAAGGTAGTTCAAAGAGGTGACAAACAAACGGGTGCTAATTTTATAGGCACAATATGGCAGTAATCTAGAATTTCTTCTTTATTTACATCTTCAAGGTAAATAAAGAAGAAATTCTAAAGTATTGCCATATTGTGTCTATAACTCCCAAAAGCCAGAGTGTCAAGAAAATCAATTGGTGGTTGGGGAATTCTGGGAATTGAAGTCCACACATCTTAAAGTTGCCAAGGTTGAGAAACACTGCTGTAATCTGTGTCAGTTGACCATCCGGGCTGGCCACAAAGCAGGGCTACTGACCTGCTCCCCTTTCCAAGGAAGTGAGCCAGATGCCCCCCCTTCAAATACTGTGACCCCTTATTTGGGCCTTCCAGGGTGCTTGTTCTATTCGTGTTTAACCTGGGGCCTATCACATGAAAATCGAGGAGAAACAAACAGGGAACAGGGTCTCCACAGGATATGGGATGCACATAAAAACCAGTTCAATTGCACCATCGCAGCTGCCATCCCGACTTTTTTGACCACACCCCGTGGACACCCTTGAAAGGGAATGGAAGAATTAAGTCTTCATGATTCATCACAGCCATCACTACAAATAGATATGCTAAGAGAAAGCTGGTAAACATAATGAATATCAAAAGAAAGACAAAAAGAAAATATCAAGTTGGATCCAGGGTTGGATCCAGAATTAAGATCTTGCAAGAGTTAGGAGCAGACTTTTGCCCCATCCTTGCCCTTAGAAGCCATCCTTGCACCGCAGTGCTATACACAATTTAACTTAATATTTCTTAAACGTAATAGGAGAGATAAGATAAATACTCCTGCTATGAATCAAACTGCTTTTCAATATTCATTGTGTTCCCTAATTTTTCCCAGATTCAGTCATAGGCTTAGATTGATGAAACCAAGGGATTTTCCATACTGCAGGCTTAAGGTACTTGTGGAAATGAAGCTGGCTTGAGAAATTCTTTTTAAGATGTCTGCCTCAGGCAGCTGGTATAATGGTCTGTGGCAATGACTTTGGGAGGCAGGAGGAAGAGCCACAGCTTAGACAACCGTCATACAAAAAGTATCTCAGCCCACAGAAGGAAAAGAGGCATGGGAAGCACCTCAGAAGGTACCCTCCCTAGTTTTCTGAAAGGTAAAAATAAGATAAAAGCCAGTTTGGTGTAGTGGCTAAGGCACCGGGCTAGAAACCAAGAGACGGTGAGTTCTAGTCCCACCTTAGGCACAAAGCCAGCTGTGGATCTTGGGCCAGCCCCTCTCTCTCAGCCCTGGGAATCAGGCAATGACAAATCACTTCTGAAATTTGGCCAAGAAAACTGCAGGGACTTGTCCAGGCAGTCGCCAGGAGTTAACACTGACTTGAAGGCACAAAAGAAAAAAG